AAAAAAAAAAAAAAAAAAAAAAAAAAAAAAAAAAAAAAAAAAAAAAGAGAGAGAGAGATCCCGTACTAACTGAAGCGAAAGACCTTCTGTTCTAGGTTCAGCAGGAGTTCCCTGTCCCTGGCTGGCGCCCAGAGCAAAATCCATCAAGATATTGTTCTCCACTGCTGCTTCCAACGCTCCTTTAAACAGACTTCGAAAAGCTTCAGTACCGAACCCGAACACGTTCCAGTCTGTGAGTGGGGGAGCGCCACTGGGGTTGCCATAGTAGTAGAAGGGGACGAGCTGCAAGCCACCAGCGCCATTGGACGCAAGATCAGCAATATCGTGCTGGACCGAGGCGACGGGGACGCTTGCATCCGAGAACCTGCATCATGCTTTTAGTACGGAGCACATGAACGGATAAGTCTTAAATCGCGTGAGCTCTCACCAATAACGAAACTTGATTTTTGATCCTATTGGAGGGTGGTCGAACTGGTCTAGCGCTGCAGGGTGGACAGCTCGACAGGCTACAAGGAGGGATACCCCGAGTAATAGAAACTGAAGAACTCTAGGGACGGCCATTGAAAAGTTCGAGAGTACCAGGATGCATCGATTCAAGGTATCGTCATTGATATTCTTTGTATGCGCTTTATAAACCTCTTGGACCTTGGATACACATGAGCCATCACAAGTACGAATACGACAGCAGGCACAATACGAGGACGACATGATTGGTCCACTAAATCACTCTGTCATTGCCCCGCAGATTACCCTAAAGTATTCGAAACTATATGGATGCGTCGATCGGCCCAAGCTACCCCAACCGACAGAACCCGACACAGGGACCAGTCCACTTGAAGTACCAGGACATGCCAGACCGCCACCTCGGCAGATTTGTGGATTAACAAGGGCTCCATTTCGCCGGGACTGCTCCACTTAAAGTGAGTGCCCACCCTGGCGAATTGGCCGACCTAAAATTCAACCGAACATCGTCTGATAGTCCAATGACTTCTCCTGGCAAAAGGCAGGCGTGCATGGAATGTCGTCGCCGGAAAGTGAAAGTGAGTGATGTCGATCCGGGATTTCGCGAAGCAAGAGTCGGCCCCATCTGGCTAACGAGGAATGACCAGTGCGACGGTTTATCAACGTGCAAGAACTGCCATGCAGCAAGGACACCCTGCCGATACGCGACCCCACAAAAAAGGGGTCCAAAACCAGTCAAATTGCGAGACCATAGCCCAAGAGAGTCTCTCGAATCAACTTTCCCCGCTACAGCTTCATCGGTTGAATCGGGTGGTGCTGGGCTCCTCGTTGCCAGGGGGTCTTCATATCTGGCTTCCGACAGCCCTTTATCGAACAGCATAACGTCGCGTCCTCTACTTGAGCTCCTAGGAAGCCAAGCCCAAACCGCTGCTCAAGTGCACCTAGACCTCCTGGCAGGGCTGCTGATTGCAACTCCATCCCACACAGCGGCGTCAATCGCAGATCACTGCATTTCACTCTACACCCAGTACATTTTCGGAGCAGTCCCCATATGCCATGAAAGTCGCCTTCGAGAAACTGCAAATCGTTTCTTAATCTTGCCCTCGGGAGCAGACGACCTTGCAGACCGCCACGCGCGGATCTGGCGCTGTTTTGCTGCTGATACTGAGCGGGAGCAGGTTGAGATCCTCCGGAGTCTCACTCTTCTCACAGCCCTATGTGCAGATGTAGCATACGTTGTCCCAGACTCTCTTCTACCCGACAAGCATCTTATTGCCCCACTATTCCTCCGCGCATCACGGCAGACACTCAGGGTCTACGAAGACTACGACATCGAGCACCCCAACTCCTCGTCCCTCAGCATCCGCATGCTACTCTCGTCAGCTATACAGCAAGCCACCGGGAAGCAGGAGGTGGCTTTTCATATCCTGAATGAGGCGGGTCTCATGGCAATGCAAATGCGTCTTTATGACGAAAGTTCACTCGCAGGACAGGAGCCCGTAGAGGAAAATATCCTCCGAAACGCCTTTTGGCAGCTCTACGTCTGTGACAAGACTGCCTTGGTTATGAAGACTCGCCCGGTGACGATTCACGAACCGCTGTTTGAAGGCGAACTTACCCTCAAGGATCATTCTCAAAACCCCGTGCCACTCTTTGTACACGGACAGGAACAAAGTGATGCCGGATTAGAATACCAGCTTTTGGAGAGATTCCACGTCATACGGCGCCTGTGGGCCTTGGCTGCGAGGGTTATCCAAGCCATGGTCTCAAATTACAGAACATCGTCCGACCCGAATAGCAAGACAGAAACATCTCCCGACAGTATCGCGCGGGTATCTGAAGTATACTTTGAGCTGATCATCTTGACGAACGACTCCCCAGCCTGGGTGCGGTCACCAGTGGATTCATCTTCTGGCCTTCCTCACGGTGCAGACCCACGCCTGCTAGACATCTTGCAGCGGCAGCGAACGACGTATCTTCTCAATCTTCACAGCATAAAGGTTTTCGTGCTGGATGCCGCGATCCAGTGTGGTATGACGGAGGCTATTGGCCTCAGCGCGGAGCCCCTGACGCTTGCCATGAGGCAGATCGAACTAGCCCAAGATTTCCTAAACGTCCTTGAGAGCGTTTCCTTTCTACATCTTCAGGTGGAGGGAGAGCACTGCGTAAGTGGATCAAACATAATATCCAATGTCTTCTTTTACATATTTAACCACTTACACGAGGTCCTCCAAATAGGCTGAGAAGATCAGACACGTTGGCAGCGTGCTACTCAAGCTAGCACATAGCGGCCTGAATGAAGCAGTCAAATCACAGGCGAATCGATTTGCTATGCGCTTGATTGACATGTTAGTCCGCTTGGATTCAAAAGCATCGGACGTGCTGGGACAATGATATAATGTTAACTGAGAGGAATATTCTGCCTCGGTCTGTCGTGCAAAATAATGTCACTCGCTCATTGCGTAGTAGGTGTGTAGGAGGTATCCGAACCTGCTTGGGTCAGTTCAAATAGTTCGCCTATATTATAGCTATTCCGGCCTTGTTGAAAGTAGGACTGCTGTCGCCTCATAACCCTTCACTTCCGCCGATCAAAAAATTGTCCGGTGCGGCAGTTTACTCGGTCCGCGAATTCAAGTTTTGTTTGGGGTTCTGCGCCGTAGAATTCATAATTTAAACGCCATTACGGGGGTTAAGCTCTACCATTTCCGCAATACTGAGTATATGCAAGATCAACGTTAGCCATTTCTTTCTGCGACTTGGACATCAATATCCCCTGGATAGGATACGCTTGGCTGCGTTTAAGGTCGCTAATGACCTGTACCACTCAGTGGCCTGGAATCATTGCTGAACTCTGCACGAGCCCAGAAAGAGCTAATTATCAACCCCTTAGGTTCCTCCGCGGGTGCTGTTACTTTTCACATCAGTTCGCGGTAATGAATGCCGCTACTTCAGCCTGGTATGACACAATAATTGGTGTTCCAGGACATCCATTCTCATTCAATCTCGCCGCTGAACTACGCCCTCCACCCGCCTTATACATAATAGGTAGTTCATATCCCCTGTCCCATTTGCCACGGCCGGTGAGAGTCATGCCTACGCAAAATAAGCCCCTCCCTTCGGACCCGACGCAGCATCACTCCTTAACGTCGGAGCTTACTTTCTCCGCATGATCAGCTTCACCAAGCCCCTCAGCCTTGATGTCGTACGTTCTCTGTAGGACTTCTCTCTGTGAGTGGAGGCGGCTCGGCAGACCTGGTGGGTTACTACGTCAGTAAGCCCCTGGATGCATTGAAGGAGCTGGTCGGGGTTGAGAATGTGACTGCAAATGTTGGATGTTATGGTAAGTCTGCCTACTCCGTAGAGAGCACGCTTGCCTTGGTTTTCTGAGTATGAATATTCAGGACATCTTTTCTCGCCTCTCCTCGAAGAGTGCGTTACCGTACCTGGTACGAGCCAGCCCGGCTATTGCGTGGAGTACTTCATGCAGGAGCCAGATAGCTCTGGGAGCATCAAACCATTGGTTACCACAACAACGACGCAAGCACAAATGTACTTTGCTGATAACCTGCCGGAGGGAATCAGTGAGGGGTACTGGGTGCGAGTTTCGACTACTTACACTGCGGAAGAAAGTGGCATGATCCAGCTAGGCTTGTGTGTCCTCGGAAAGGGCCGGCTATACATTGATGGCGCTGAGAAGATCGATCTCTTCACAAGCCAGCCAGAAAAGACTCTACAGACGCCCATGTTCAACCAATCCAGCATGGAAGGCACCACCATCCTCGATGTGAAGAAGGGCCAAAAGTACCAGATTGTTGTTCTCTTGCAGAACGAGCAGCTGACACCTGGTGTTGGTGCCTTGAATGCGGGTGGCCTACGCATCGGCTGCTGTGAGCACTTCAACGCAGCCGCGAAGCTATCAGAGGCCGTGGAACTGGCTCGATCTGTCGACTACCCCATTGTTATTGCTGGGCTCAATGCCGACTGGGAGAGCGAGGGGATGGATCGAAAATCACTTGCCTTGGCTCCGCAAGTTGACCAACTTTTTGAAGCTGTTCTCGCAGCCAATCCCAACACTGTAAGTTCAATTTCCGCCTTTCAAGCGCATGGATGCCAATGGATTTCTAGATCATCGTCACCCAGGCTGGATGTCCCATTGCTCTTCCATGGGTAGACTCGGCCAAGACTCTGGTGCACGCCTGGTATGGCGGCCAAGAGACAGGCAATGCAATCATGGATGTTCTGTTCGGGAAAGTCAATCCCAGCGGCAGGACTAGTGTTACATTTCCCAAGAGACTAGAGGACACACCCGCTTTCTTGTCATTTGGCAAGGTGGATAAAATGCTGCACTACGGCGAGAGCGTGTTCGTCGGGCATCGTTACCACGAGAAGCTCCAAAATCCACCGCTCTTCTACTTCGGGTATGGGCTGTCGTACACCACGTTTGCGTACTACGGTTTGAAGGTTCCCAAGAATGTTGATCTGGCCAACCAGAACACGTTCGAAGTATCTGTCAAGGTGCAAAACACAGGCACTCGCGACGGGTCCGAGGTCATTCAAGTTTACGTCTCGGACCTGGCAAGCTCCGTTCAAAGACCTGCAAGGGAGTTGAAGGGCTACAGCAAGGTCCATATTCCAGCCGGCGGTACTGTGGAGGTTGCTATCACGCTAGACAAGTATGCGCTGTCTTTCTACAGCCAAGAGCATGCGCAGTGGTTGGCAGAAAAGGGAACGTTTGAAATTATCATCGCCACGAGCGCTGACCCTAAGGATGAGATCCTCCGGCAACCCTTTGAACTTGTTGCCGATTATCTTTGGTCTGGTTTGTGAATAGGTACACTTGATAGAGAATATACTTAGACGGCCATGGCTGCATTCACGTCGGTTTCAGTTCTTATTCGGTTACTCCTCAATGTAGCTCTTCTAGCCTAGATCAACACAGCATCTCTGATACTCCCAAATGGTACACGTTATACCTGAGCGTCGCAAAAGTACTGTTTGTTTAAGCGAGATCAAAACTTGACGAGCAGTATCCGGGCCATCGGACGATCTTGGTGGGGTCGGGCATGTCAATCCTCTTTGAACCACGAGTTAGAGGCCCAGATACAAGCATTCCTAGCATTCTTAATGTCAAATGATCGCAACAGAACACTACGCTGTGCTTTTGTAGATCCCTGACACGGGACTGCGGTTTGTCGGCGTATTTTATGCTCGCAAGAATATTCCAGGGCCAGCAAGGAGCAGCAAGATAATACGCGCAGGAGCTGGGTGAGGAAGATGGCACGTATTATTCTTCTATCAGAAACCTAAAGGTCACTTCTTCTCCTCCTTCATGCTACAACAAAGCTGGAATACCGAGCTTCTACCTCCACATCACTTGTGGCAAATATTCCAATAATGGGCCCCACGAAGTCAAGGCCAGTCATGTCAAGGGTATCCACTCTCCCAAGTTCCTTCTTCCCCTCTGGGTTGTTGCTGGCTGCATACCAAAACACGAGCTCCGCCTCAGTATGGTCAATACCGAAGGCAATACTTGTGCCGTTGTCCAGGACGCCAAAGTGGCAAGCTGTCCTCAATCCGATAAACTTCGCCATATTGACAATCTCTAGAACCACATCCCCAAAATCCATGTCTAGGAAAGCACGGACGAAGCGGTGCTCATCTTTATAGTAACACAGCCCAGTCTTGAGAGCTGAGCCCTTGAGTTTTGATAGCACCAAGGGACCTAGTACTGCTGAACTCGAGCCCTTTAGGCGTCTCTGACGCTTGCCGATGAATGTTACTGGCTCTTCCGATTGAGATACGTCCGCCTTGCTTGCCGTTAGGGTGATGTTGTTTCCCTCCAGTTTATAGTTTTCTGCGATAGGATCGCGGATATGAACGAAAGCCACATCAGGACAGTCGGCCATCCTGCCAGCCGGCCATACAGGTAACCCACCTCCCTTGGTGGCAAGCAACACATCGACTTGGACAGGGTCGATCTTCGGATATTCACCTTCGGGCCAGGTGGCGGTGGTGAGGACAGATTCGCGACCCATGATGAACCGGCCGTTGGTCTTTCTGACGCCCAGGCACACAAAGTACCACTGCCCCGTGGGACTCTGGAAAAGATCGCCGTGACCTGTGTGCTGGATATATGCACTGGGATCCGCCTTCTTCATCACTGGGTTTGCCGGGTTTACCTCGTACGGACCCCAGATATCCCGTGACCTAGACATTATGGTATGGTGATTGGCAAAGCAGCCGCCTTCGGCAATGAGAAGGTAATACCATCCGTCCTTCTTATACATGTGCGGACCCTCGGGGTATACCTTGGTGACACCCTCCCAGAGCAACTTTTCCTCGGAGAGTTTTGCACCTGTCTTGAGATCGATCTCGAATTGCCGGATCTTGGTCTCGGCGTTGGGAGAAGAAGCGGCGCCGATGAGGTATACGCGGTCGTCGTCGTCCCAGAACAAACTCGTGTCAATCCCGTTGAAATCGTAGAAGACCGGTTCGCTCCATTCGTCGGCCCAAATGTTTGTGGTTGACAAGATGAAATTTTCATATTCGCTCGCATCTGGCGCTTGAAATGGCTTGTGTAGAACGTTGGTGCAGACGATGTAAAAGGTGCCCTTATGATATCTGATCGTGGGGGCATAAAGTCCGCCCTGCGCGAGTACCTTGTCTTCTGGAACGGTCGGGTCGACGACGATTTTGGTCAGGGAGTGTCGGAGGCTTACTTGCCGAGTCCGATTCAAAGCGTTACCTGGTTGTTATCCTCATCAGCAGGAAACAGTGGCAAGGTACAAAGGCCGGGGAATTTACCGATATGCTTCCACCGCTTAAGGTCTTCTGATGCATATACTGGCAATCCAGGGAAAATGTGGAAGCTGGAATTGACAAGAAAGTACGTGCCATCGACATAGACAATCGAAGGGTCAGGCGCGAAGCCTGGAATGACCGGGTTGACTCGTACTTGCTCCATTGTGGAACACCCTGTAAGCTTCGACAACGTAAGTTCATAATTTCTTTCTCTTTTTATACGCTCTTTGCGAGCTCCTTGAGCCGCCTTTGGTCTGTTCGCGTTTCCTAGACTGCTCGGACAAATGGTGGGTCCCCAGATCCACAGTTACACCGACAGCACGAGATAGAGGAAAGAATTGCCCTGGCCTGTCAAAGAAATCTGTTTCATGTGCTGCTGCGAGATAATAGGTATAAATGACTGGACAGTATATCTTGACCACTAATGCGTATCGCAGTCGTCTAGCCACCGCTTTACACAATGATGGCCCCCAACGCCGGATGTCAGTCTCTGACGCATCCGCACCTGCGGCGTGACGGCAACGACACGTCTTATTGTTAACTGCAAACCCTTTTTAATGCTCGCCGGCGAACTGTATAACTCCTCTCTCAGCTCGGGCTGCTACATTACCGACATATGGCCAGCAATGAAGACACAAGGTATCAACACCTTGCTTGGTTCCGTGTCTTGGGAGCAGATCGAGCCATTCGAAGGCGCGTTTGACTTCTCGGAGTGGACGATATCATCCTCGGCGCCCGGAAGCATGATATGCGTCTTGTACTCCTATGGTTTGGTGCATACAAGAACGCTCTCAGCACGTACGCTCCTTCGTGGGTTAAAACGGACCCGGAGCGCTTCCCGAGAGCACTGGCAATAGGGCCAGGGGGCGGCCTAAAAATTCTCGACACTATAACGCCCTTCTCGATGGATTGTGCAGATGCTGACGCAAAGACCGTTTGCCAAGCTGTTGCAACGCCTGAAGGACTTTGATGCAGACCACTCTACTGTCCTCGTGATCCAGGTAGAAAATGAATGCGGGATACTGGGCGATTATGCTACGAAGATGGTATAGTTTTGCGGGGGAGGAGATAAGTTGGTAGAAATGGGGAAGTGGTGGCGGTGGCTTCTATGGCGTGTTTGTCTTTGGACTGCATCAATCGCGTCCCATTAATACTCCTTGATCTATTGGCAGAGGTGACGGATCATCGGCCGTCATATTTGTGGAGAGCGTCTGTGCTCGGGAGCCAGGAGGGAAGGTTATTCTCCATTCTCCATTCCATCCCTTACTGTAAAGTGGAGCTGGGTCGGCGAATGCGCTGACGGATCCGCAAATCCCCCGAAAAGTATCAAATCCAACCAGCTTGCGTTAAATCCTTAGTTTCCTGAGTGGCTTGTCCTCGGCCGGAGACTATGAGGAATCC